AGTATATCGTTATATATATAAGTATATTATATAAATATTAAAGTTTATTTATAAATACATATATACTGTTAACGGCACAAACATATTTATGTCAGCACGAATAGTTTTCATAGACTGTATGTGTGTCTATCCGACAACTTTGCTTACAATTTGCTTTATTGTTTGTTGGGGCTGGTCAAAAGTCGTGTCTGTGAGGTTTTGTTGGGATCGATAGTATCGTTTGGTTTTTCACATTCCGACAAAGTAAATCATCTGCAGCTTCGAGTGGGAAAACGCTCTTGTGTATACGCCTCTCACATACTCTTACTTCTCACACAGGGTACGAATACTGTCAATGTGTTTGGTGACGGCTTGACTCTCAGCACAACAGTCGGCTTTACATACGAAAGCGGAGACTGTGTAGACAGCGTTCATACTGAAAATCTGTCAAGTGTAGGTCAAGATGGACTGACAGGGACTATGCTGATCCAGGACATCGAGCCTGGAAGCTTGTATCTCTGTGTAAACAATACATTCGTTGCAACAGCGGCAAATGGGTACGCCTTGATCGTGGAAGAAGAAGAGACACCGATCGCTCCTTTGTGGGCTGCTTGCTTGCTCATTTTCGGCTTGCTGTGGTATGTATTTGTATTTATCTGGATTTTATACTAGTTCCCTGCCTAAGGTTTAGATCCAATCTTTTTTCAGCCGTACACAGCACGTGGCTCTCAACAGACTTTAGTGAAGCCACCGTAGTCTGTATTGGTACAATTTGCTGCACATACTCGTTACTAGTAGAGTACGGTTTATCTGAATGCCGACTGCGTATTTGATTTGTTATGAATGTAAATTTGTCCCGTAAAGCACGTCTCGTGTCCACTTCACCCATCTGCACTGGTTCGCAACATTCTTCATCGGCCGTTTCCAATTGCTAGCATGTGCGCACTGCATTATAGGCTTGCTTGAGAGATCATGCGGCGGAGAGGAATCGGCTTTGTGGGCTATTCAAGCTTATTTACGTGATACGTCTTGCCGCTACGTCTCTGCAGTATGCTCAGCTATATTTATCCTTGCTTCGACTGCTGATTATCGAAGTATATTGCATTTGGGCGCTGTGTTTGGGCGATTGTAGCGTTGTATGTTTTCACGCTAATCAAGTTGCTGCATTTCATCTGTCGATTCAACAGCTTGTCAGGTTTGTTTTCCGGGCTCAATTTGGGACTGATGGCACTCGACACTACCGGGTTACAAATTATTATGAAGGTTGGCGAACCACAACAGAAAAAATACGCAGAGACTATCTACCCTATCAGAAAACACGGAAATTTGCTGCTCTGTACGCTACTCTTGGGTACGTATACATCAATCTTTTATTGCAATGTTGTTGTTGCCCTAGTCGGCCGCTTCCAAAAACATATGTACGCGTGTATATGTGAATTCATGTCATGCAGTTAAGGCAGTGACACAAACGGCTGCTTCATATTCTTTATTTTACATATATCACTCAGGTAACGTCCTTGTTAATAACACGCTGACTATAATATTGGAGTCAGTCATTGGCGGGGGCGTAATGGCCGTCATTCTGTCGACAGCGGGAATCGTCGTGTTTGGAGAAATCATTCCACAATCAATCTGTACTAGGTATGAGTTTATTTGCGACATTCGCCCATTGAGTATGCTTACTTGCATCTATATACACGTGCACTGCTATGGCAATTTTGCCTTTAGTCTATTTCCCATCTACATCGTTCTTCTAGGTATGAGTATCTGGATTTTACTTTGGTGAGATAGAAGTTGCGTCCAATCACGGGTACAATTCTTGCTGCTGCTGTCACGACTTCATGAGTAGATGTCACGATATATGGCTTGAGCTGTGTGTCAAGCTACTTGTATAGTTCAGAAGATTTTGTATGACATTGGCTCATCGAAAATCTGAGAGCGAACATTCACAGTTGTATGTTGTAAAATTCTCAGTTGATATATTTGCCCGGCTGGCAGATGCGCCACGAGTTTAATTTATTATATGCTAGGTCTTCAGGTTTTGGTTTTTGTTTCGAGTCTTCAGGTTTTATTTTTTGTTTCGAGCTCATCTCATCAAGCCACATTGTTATGTGCGGACATAATCAATTCTCTCATTTCAACTCAAGTACTCAAACTTCTGCTTTTGTCTTTCTTTCACCAACCGTTTTAGGCATGGTCTCTTTGTGGGCGCCAAGACAATCTACATCACCAAGCTCTTCGTCATGCTCATGTTTGTCATCGCATATCCCATTAGTAAGGTAGGTTAGCGTCAGTCATTGTATCAGAATTGTTGTCATGATGTGTTCCGCACATCGCGATATATATCACAAATACTTCCATATGATATGACAAAGCGCAAGAGTGAGACAAATACATCGGTGTTGGATGTTGACACGAATACGAATTCCTGACAGTCTCCGATCAAATTTCATTTTGTGTTCAAACCAAAAACTATTCGGGGGTACAGGATACACCAACATTCTAGGTACCAGCTATTTTAAGTAGCGCAACGAGTTTGTACACTCAATACTCTTCATGAAGTTATCTAAGCTTTGTCCTATTTCTTGAACGCTCTCTATGCAGATATTGGACTGGGTTCTGGGTCGTGAGTTGGGAGTGATGTACAGTCGGCGCGAACTGAAGGAGCTGGTGCGCTTGACTGGCTCACAGGTCAATCTAAATCAGGACGAAATGGCTATGATTGGTGGAGTGTTGGATTTCACCACTAAAACCGTTGGCCAGGTACAAGATTTACCTCTCGCTGATATTAACAAGTAGTCTGCACATCGCGTACACAATTCGTAGTATATACTTGTCATTACGAGTTCCACATTCAATGCGATTTTCCCGTTAAATGGGTGTCGGACCCTATCAAGGGACAACCATCTCAGGCCCGCTTGGAGAGCAGTTAGAGCGTTGAGTAGAAACAGCTCCTCATATGCTCATTCGGGTGCTTCTGGAACAAGAATACACACGTGTATTTGCTCGAAAGCCCGTTAATCACAACCCCTTATACAGCTCGTCATTTTTGGTATTGTACCGCACACATACTGCGTACGGTCTACTTAGAGGCGTACGGTATACACATATACCTCCATTGCAGTGTGCCACAAGCTCAAAGTTCTCACACGCCTGTTTCGTTCAGATCATGACACCGATGCAGGATGTTTTCATGATCGAGATACACGCCAGGCTTGACTTCAAGACGCTCAAACTCATTGTAGAGAGTGGACACAGTCGAGTGCCTGTCTACGAGAACGACTCTTATGGCATTAAGAAAATAGTCGGTAATTTTTGGTTTACTTTGTCTTATGGTTTAATCGCAACGAAACTGTACGTGGCACATGCACAAAGAACAGACGCATGTCACATGCCCAATATACAATATACACTTAATGAGTCAGAGGTTTCCCGTGTACTCCGGACTTTGGTACTATTGTAAGATGGCGCTGCTTCGAAATACTTTTTTTTTATCATGGCGGTGCGTCCGATTGATTTTCCGGGTTTCGTATCTCGAAATACCACAAGTCTATGAATACATGAAATCAAAAATGACGGCAAGTGCTGACACCCTCGCCTGCTTTTGATGCTGTGTCATGTCGTACAGGAATCCTATTCGTCAAGGATTTGACGTTTGTAGATCCGGACGATGAATTGCCGCTGTCCACGGTTATCAAATTCTATGACCGCACGTTCCAATACGTGTTCGACGATACTAAATTAGGTATGTTTGCAAGTGATTATAACATATAGCATACATTTTTAAACACGTGTACACATTGGTAGCTTCCACGTGCTCAAGCTAAGACAAGTTTGCGCAAATCTCTAGTTTTGAAGCGCCATGGCACACATTTAAATGTACAATGTGTTCGAACCCAGTGCATTGCGATCAGTACCCGGGCTGTGCTGTCTTTCTACGCTATAACTATCACAACATCATCACCTGACGTTCGTAAGAATCCAAACTGTGCTACTTTCTTACCATCATTCTATCCTCACAAACACAGATGAAATGCTCAGCACCTTCAAGTCTGGACACTGTCACTTAGCTGTAGTGAGGAAAGTGAACGACGAAGGTGAAGGGGATCCCTTCTATGAGAATGTCGGAGTGATCTCGCTCGAAGACGTCTTGGTATGTGTAATCGCGTGGCTGTGTTGTGTATAATCGAGCGTGGGGTTTGAACTTCGCGCGAGCAGAAACAAATATTCTCAAAAGTTATTATATTCTCGTGTGGACACCTCAAAATATTATTTTGTGGCGATTTGATGGCTATTTGAGTATATGCGAATCAGATTTAGTTATACTTGGTTTTACGCACTGCATGCGGAATAAGTGCACCAAATACTTAAGTGTTTGTACACCACCTAAACTATTGAGGTTTAGTTGCCGATATTAGAGAAAGTGGAACGGCAGCTAAATGCAGGGGCCGAAGTAGCGTGCGAGAATTGGTCGTATGCGGATCCTAAGTTTTGCTAGGCTGTGTATATTGTGTGTAAGGCATTCTTTGACGCGCATCGTTCTGTCGTGAGAATCTCGTAGTAGGTTTTCGCGACCTGGTGTGTCATTTAGGGTTCTCAGCAGGTGCTGTACCTTGTGTGCAGCAACTCTCCTTAGTAAGCTCATGGAGAAGACGGCTGGTTACCGAGCAGAGCATGCGCATTGGTTGATCGTCAACTGTGCTCTTGGGTTTATATGATGCTTCATCGTTTCCTTAAATACACTGTTCAGTAACGCGACCACACACTCGCGGCAGCTGACTAGACCCTCAACCTTATAAACCTTCTTTTTTATTGAATCATAGGAAGAAATTATTCAGTCCGAGATCGTAGACGAGACAGACAGAATTACCGACAACATAACACGCAATCCCGTCCCCAGGGGTGATGGCAACCCTCTTCGCCTGGGTCATAAAGATCATGTATGTTTACCTATTGAGCATTGCAGGATGTATGCTATCCGTGCTTGTTTCGGGTAATGTAATTGTACCTTTGAAGTCGAGAGTCTATTTGCGGAACGTGAATGAGAATGTACGATAAATGACAGTTTTGAAGAAGGCACAGGCTTACGTTTCATAGGTAATAACATGCGCGTGTGTATATGTACGTGTGAGCTTCTCCTATCAGTCGGAGATCAGTATGCTTACTTGTGAGTGGGGAATTGTTATGTAAGAAAATATGAAAATGTAGAGACTAAGAAACTATGCGACTGTTCGTGCAGAGCACTGTTGGTACTTTTCCGTATCGGCGTTCCTGTTCAACAGTGGCTGCTGCTATCGCTTTAACTCCTTATTGAAATCTTGACAGAAATTATTCACATTTACACAAATATTGTCTTGTTTATGCTGCGGGTTTTGAGTGTCCGCTCCCATGTAGCTCAGAGCTGCTAGTGTTTCTGATGTGTGTACGCTACAGTCACTGAGTGCGTGAATTCAGGCGTGTCCTGTATATATTTGCAGCACTTCTGTCAGCTGGTAACTTGGTAACCGAGAAACTATGTAACTGCTCTGGAAGAGCACCCCCGGTAGACTTTCGTATCAGTGTTCTGGCTCAGCACTTGGTGGGAAGTTAGGTTGACTCTTTGTACAGGCTTATCGCATAAAGGTGTTACGCAATCATAGCTCAGGCACATCCTCCTCCTTCACGAGCCTAATATTTCATTCGTAAATGTACTGATGCGCCTCACCACGGCACGTATCTCGGCCATACAGGCATCAGCAACCAATCTCAGTGGGGGGAAAGTTCAAGGTCAAACTTTCGACGACCTTTCCGGTAGAGGAAGTGACCAACAACACGTGTCCAGTCAGTTGAAGTTGGCTATACTGTCGTTCCTAACAACATCTTTCGATCTCTTTGGCGAGAGTACAATGACGCGTGCCATTGCTCAGCGGGTGATCGACAATGCAATGTACAGAAAATTTAACAGGTAATATCATGGCGACGATTGTATCGTGCTGTGGTGATAGTCAGGCTTTAGTTTTGGATTCGAATATTTCGGTGCTCTGTGCTCTTCTCATCAATTTAATTTGATTGGCGCTTTGTGCATGAATGATACGCCTTCTCATTGAAGTATGCAAGCCTTTTATACGTTTACTCTCTCATTCACTGATTGCGGGTGCCATGCTTTAGTATGCCTGGTTATTCACTTCTTATCAACACTCAGCACTATATTAGCTATACACGACAAACATAAGTTTATTGCATGGTCAATGCATATCAAATTGTATCCACACACGACCCAAGAAAATTTCTTCCTTGATGTTGCAGATTAGACGGCTTGGCCGACACTGCCAGGAGGGAGGGTGGGCCAGAAGCACACGACTCTCAGACTATAGAGCGAGCGCGCAGAGGTGTGCTGTACGAGTCTGGGAAAAAAACTACTGTGTTCACTGTGATCCTCGAGGGTAGGGTTAGAGTCATTACAAACACAGACGGTCTCACATTCGATGCTGGGCCATTTTCCACTCTGGGTATCCAGGTACGTCGTTACCCGTAGTGTGTAGCCTTGTTTTTTTTGTTTGTTTTGATCATAGCCAGAAATGCATTTATGCCCGTAAATTTGATCGTTCGCTTCTGAATAGAAATACAAGTGTTTAAATAATGAATATGTATGGAGTGTCCAGATATCGTCGGTCTATGTGTGATACGTTCGTGCGGAGGCTTTAGCATGTGGCGGGTGCTATGCTTTTACTGGAAGCTCTGTGTGTGTTGTACAGGGTGGGATGAGTATCTTTCATAGACCATTAGTGATATGACAGCCAGGTGCTGTTTGATAGGGCTACCTCGTTAGTAAACTGGAAAAGCTGACCCTGTTTTCTTTTTTCTTTGTCGCCTGCCCACCAGACCACCACTTTCCACTGCCTATGTTTAGTCTAGCCACTGTAGTTATGGCCTCATGGACTGGCTCCATGTTGCAAACACGCATATTGGGACACAGCAACATACTGCTCCGTAATTATTTATTGCGGGGTTTAGTCCCACATGCTTGGTCTCTGATGTTCCATTTCAATTCCACCCACGCGAGAAAATGTACCATTGCCTATGCCTGACATTTATCGGATGTTAATTGGCACCCCAGGCGCTATCGCAAGGTGAATATGTCCCCGATTTCCGTGCCATAACGGACTTGAGCGACGGTTTACTGATGCAAATCACCACGGAGGACTACAAGAGAGCTATCAATGCAAGTAAGCTGCAGCGTACAACCAGTCAGCTGCTGCGATCACCACAGCCTCAAATGCGCACGAATTCGGGCATGACCCCCGATAAAGTGGCCTCAATCGGGGCTGATACTGCAAGCGAGGTGCATTCCCAAAGTAAGGGCTCTTTGTGCAAAGAGAGCGCTATCATGAGATGCGATGAAGACGAGAAAATAGAGATGGTGGACTTAAATGAATCAAGTGCGATCGATGCGGAGAGTTTAGGGGATGGAACTCGTATGTCTATTGAGAGCGATTTGAACAGTGTTTTGAGGGTGAATGAGTTGAGACAAGGCGGTAGCGGGGTAAGTAGCGATGGCGATTCTACTGCGAATCTGACTGACGCTGTAGCTATCAATGTGTGTAATGTGGCCAAGACAACCGACGATAAACTGATATAAGAGTGGATTAGGCGAAAGAACGGTGCTAGCCACGGCCCAATTTAGTAGTGTGAAGATAGTGAAGAGAAGAAATCGGCAGTCACGGAACTGTGTGTAGTGTATCAGGATGATATTGACAAAATATATTGAAGGTGAAATATCCTTGCCAGTACAAGTGGATATAGCGTTCACCACACAAGAAAGGTACACTTATTATGCTGGTCGTTTAATAGTGTTTTGAATTCAGCATCAAATAGAAGATTTACGACTGAGAAATTCCAGTTTATTCTTTCAATAGGCAGATATGGATAGAGTCGAGACAATAAAACCAGGCGCAAGCGTTAAAGACCTGGCGAATTCAGCAGCTGTGCTCAAAGCGGTAGCGGATTGCGAATCCAACTGTCTTAGGTTTCATCTGTGTTTTAGGAGGCTATGCTATATTTTGATATGAATCGATTTTTAGGCCTCGACTTCGGTGATTGTGGTTTACCAAGGACGTGTTTCTGCAACGTGGCTAATTATTCTCAAGGATCATAACCCGAAGCGTTCGTATTTGTCTATTGTACCAGTTCGAATTGTGACACATGGTTCTTATAATCATGACAAACATCAAGCCTTCTAGAACTATCATAGTGAGGGACTTCCGGAACCATGATGTATATACAAACTACAAAATGAGAACCTTTCAATACATCCCATATCCATCTACTAATCATTCCAATGTTTTCTATACATTAATGTATAAAACATATATATATATATATATATATATATTATTGGATATATGTATTTACACACACACACACAACACACACACACACACACGCACACACACACACACACACACACA